ACAAATGTGTAAAGTGTTATTTATCTAGAATCTTTAGGGTTTATAAGCATTGCTTCTGCTTAGTTGACAGGTGATCATAGTTAAATAAGCTTTGGAAGTATTTATTCAAGAGAATGAAGAAAACTTGCTTTCAGATACCCTGTAGGGATATGGAGCTGCTCTCTCTGGCAGTGGGATTCAGTGAACTGCACTTTGATCTAGTCAGACATTTTGACTTTTCCAAGTCTCACGTTTTCATACCGGGGATGAGTCTGTCTCATTTTTGAAATGAGGAGGCTGACATTGCTTGATGGCAGCATGGCAGTTGGGGTTAGAACCCAGTTGTCTAGATTTTTGGTGCCTCTTCCAGTTGAATCTAGCACTGAGTCATCTTTCTGCTGTTCCCCATAATATCCATCTACTTGCTCTCGAGGCCTCTGCTAAGAGACCATCAGTTTGGAATTACTTTGGAAATTACTCTACTCATACCTCACAAATTGCCATTTTGACCACATCTTTAAGGTTCTAGTAGTGGCTCTGCTCTGGATCCTGGTACTTACCCTCAATTTGAGGATTGGACTCAATAGTTCAATTATTGCTTTCTTGTTAAACTGCTACTTCACAGAGCAGGGCCGTCAATGTGGGTAGTTTCCCCCAGGAATCTCTCTCTCCACTTCTTGCCTCAGGGAATCTCATCTTAAATCTTATCATGAGACCCTTATGAATCATTGTGCAAGCTGACCTTTATACCTGGTATTGAGTAAAAATGGCAAAAGGTCAGTAGCTGTAACTGTGAGCAAGAGTGACTGTGACCAGTAGGCATCAGCAAAGTTACTGAGTATCCCAGCAAAAATGCCAGAAAGGGAATTTGGGGGGAGTTCAGAGGAAGAATGGATGGCTGGTGCCCTGATGTCTGAGGGCACTAGGAGTTGCACCAGGGAAGCGTATTCCCCTTATAAGTTTCTTGTAAGCAGGAGTTTCTCAACCTCTGTGCTGCTCGGTTGCTCCTAGCAAGCATATGTTATATGCAGTAATGCTATGATAGTCTTTAGTGAATTAAAAAAAAATATTTTATTTGTTTATTCATACAACAGGGTCTAGGTCAGAGGTGTGGGGGGTAAAAATATTCACCAGAGACAGAGCAGGGAGTAGAACAGGCAGAGCTCCTAAAATACACTGCGGAGGGGAGCAGTGGCCAAGACAGGAGAGGTCTGCTGTGGGTCAGTTTCCTGGCTAGAGATAGTGGTGATGGTGCTGAGACTTAACCCCTAGGCCCCCAGGGAGGCCCATGACTTGTGTATTGGACATAGCCTTCTGCATACATTTTAAGATAATACTGCATCTTGGAAATCATCTCACACCATTTTGAAACCTCTGGTTAGTGGCTAAATTCTCTGTTGTGTAGCTGTATCATCATTTACTTAACCCAACCTGTGATGGGTGGCTATTTGCTCTTAGAAATAACATCATGCAGAATAACATTTTGTACGTTGTCCTCCTTATTTCCATATTCATGGAGAAAAAAATAAGTGAATAAAGAGGAATGCATTCATAGTAGGTTTCCAGATGTTACTAAATATCCTTTTCTATATGCCAATCTTGAGTGCCTGGGGGTAGTGCTTTGTACCAGTTCTGTGCCTCCTCCACTGTGGTAGCTCATACTTCTGTAGAGCTGCATGCACACACCACTTTGGCAGCAAGTGTTAAGGAGTTTGGGGAACAGTGCTGCTACTTTGAAGTCTCCTTTGTTAATGATGGAATAGGAATCGTTCTGGAATTCTCACTCTGGCACCCCTGTTGCATTTGTAGCCATGGGGCATTATGGGGTAATTAGAGGTGACAGGTAGGTTCCTGAGGGTGATGCTGATTAGTCTAGGAGAAACAATGCCCAGTGTTGTTTTGCTACCATAAAGAAACTGACTGAGCAAGACATTCATTAGGGGCTTGATCTTCTTTATTTATAAAATAGTATTTCTAATATTAACATACTAAGAAAAAATACTTCCTAAAGGGCAATACATTAATGCTATTTTTATTGTTACTTTCAGTTGGGAGATGTGCTAGGGTCTTAAACAAGCAAATGGCTGCTTCAGAATAAGGAACTCCAGAATAGCAGGGAAACCCCAGTAGTCTGAGTGTCCTGGCCTGCATCCAGGGCTGTGGGACTGACCCAGAGTCAAGGTGCCTGTAGGAGAGGGTGGTGTGACAGGAGAGAAAGCATTTCAGGCTGGTGTTCTTGAGCTTTGGGGCTGGTATGGGGCACGTGGTGGGTAAGTTAGGGCAGAGGTTGTTGCTTGCTTGTTCAGAGCTTTAGTGTCAAGTTCTAGGAGAGTGTGTGTCTGGTGGTGATGGAATAAACATTTAAAATGCCACCTGAACAAAGACTTGGTTTCTCAGTTTGTAACAGAAGACTCAGTGAAATGAATTATAATTTGGGCAGAGACCTGTAATTGCTGTTCCTTACCAAGATAAATTGACTTTAACTCTTTGAATTTCATTTTTTGAACTGGACAGAAGCTAACCTTTTCTAAATTAAAGTCATTTTCCAGAAACAAATTGAGGTCACTTCAGGTTGTCTGAGTGTTTCTGAGCATCTTAAGCCATATTTAAAATATCACAATGCTTTTTCATGCTTTCCACAGCTCACCTGACTTAGTCAGCATAGCACAGGATATTTGCGCTTACCAATCCCTCACATTCATTCCACTGTAGGTTTGGTTTGGGGGGGAAGGGAGTCTCTTTCTGAACTTGTGTACAACTGTCTGCAGACTGGCAGGAGGGCCTTACTGTATACCTGATGGGCTGGGGGAAGGGAAAGGTGGGAGAAGTCATAACCAGGTCCCAGGAAGCCCATTCCCTGAGGCTTTGGCTGCACACCCCTGTCCTGCCCAAGAAAGCTTTGTTGTCTCTGTTCTCTTCCCACTTTTCTCGTTGCTGGTAACTTGCACTGTAAAATTTCAAGGATTTTATTTATAGATAGGGGCCAGTGAATTGAGTCATGAGGTAGCAAGTTGTGAATTAAAAAATAATCATGGTTGGAGTAGCCTCTATTGTTTCTGCTTCTCCTTCTTTTTCATTCTGGGAATGAGAGGGGGTGGCCAGAGATATTGGCGAGCGAATCCTGACTTACAGAGTCGGCAGACATAGATCTGTGGTGGGTGACCTATGATTTGAATATTCTTTTGGAATATTCTGAAATACAAAATGTGGAAATCTTAAGACTATGGGAAATGTTTTTCCAAAATGAAAATTGGGAGAAAATGGAAAACTTGAGTTACTTTATTTTTAGCATCGTTAGGTGTCTGAAGAATTGTATCATATGATTTAAAAAGAATGGTAACTTTTCTGATGAATTAGTCACACAGAGTTTATTCAAAAATATGAAAGACTAGATGATAACAGAAATAATATTTTCCCATGATTTCTTTGCTTTGAAAAATTGAAGGAATCAATATCAGTTGAGGATGGATCTCCCTCTTATCATTGGTTCTCCCAAGCCCCTGGCATTCACCTATTGAAGCTATACCCCCTCATCCTTCCTTGTTTCTTTTTGCAATTTGCAGGTTACTTACTACTGACAGATTTTTTTCTTCCTTCTATTTCTAGTGCACAGAGGCCAAAAAACATTGCTGGTATTTTGAGGGGCTGTATCCAACATATTACATGTAAGTATTTCCAGTTCTCTGTTGGTTTTATTATGTGGTTGTATCTTTCTCTGGAACTCTCTCTTTATTAGGTAGTAGGACTAAATTCTCTGGATCTGCTCACGAATGAGCAGGCAGCCTTCCAGAGGACACTCACCTTAATCTGAAGACAGTGTAAATTTTAGGTGTTCTGGTCAAAAGGGGCAAAATGTCTGTGCATAGCCAAATTTATGTTGGTTTATACAATTTTTTGCAGGTAAAGGAACCAAGGGTAGTAACCTTGAAATGAGTTGAGCAGGAAAGAAAAAAATCCTCAGATGGATGTGTGTGTGTGTGTGTG